GGTCATTACCATTGACAACCTCACCAATAGCAGGTCAGGTGCATTGACCAGAGTGCAGGAGATTACGGGAAAGCCTGTTACCTTCTACCAGTGTGACCTGCTGGATGGTGAGGCAGTCAATAAGATATTTTCAAAGGTATGATTCTTGTTTGGTTGCACATAAATTTCCAGACGTTTTTAAAGGCATCAACAGTGACTTATTCTTTACAAATAAGACATTATTAGGATTTACTGGTCACATTTTTTATTATAATCCTCTAAAATGGTAGATTTGCCGTGTAACACAATTGGTGTCATATCACTTATCTTGATATGGAAATTTTTATTTTCTTTTATTATAAGCTAACTTTCCTTTCAGCATAAGATTGATTATGTCATCCACTTTGCTGCCATGAAAGCTGTTGGAGAGTCAATGCAGTTCCCACTTATTTATTACAAGAACAATGTCATTGGAACCATCAATTTGATTGAGGTAAGAGTTTTTCCTTTAGTTGTGGAATATGAACAGAGATGAACAATGGTATAAGTGATAGTTATATTGTTTGTATTACTCATTATATGTACTTTGAAAAAAGGCACTGAAAAACTTAAAACAAAAAAAAAAACAAGACAAACAAGTACAAATACTTTTGATTGAATTAGGTCTTGATCAACAAGCAATCAAAATGTTGAAATGCTGTCATAAAAAGTGTAATGGGTTTCAAATTTGTGATATCATAGGTTGATTAGAAGTGTTTCTCTTACTTGGTGTGTTAATCAGATTCACAAGTATCAGAATCTTATGATGTGTCATCCTTCCAGATTTCAAGTCATTTGATATACAGGCATTCATTGTAATAGCCTTTCTTTCAATAACCGTATCTTTCTGTTAGTGTATTTATATGCCATGAATATAGCATTAATGGAATATAGCAGCATATGCAAAGTCTGCACAGTACCAAGTTGCATTTGGTGCAAAAAATAATTTGGAGACATGAACAGTAAAACCACAAGTACAGGGAAAACATGCAGAAAGTGCTCCTCACAGCCGAAGTATAATCTATGCTGTGCTTACTGAGATGAAGACAATGTTTACCCTCCTCATCAAGCCTCTCCTTGGGCAGTGAGCGAAGGGCACACCCAGTCACAACAATTTAGGTTGTTAAATAAAGTTTGTGACATGGAGTTGATATCCATATTGTAAAGAATTACCTTTTGTAGTATTAGATTTTCACATTTTCAATACCACAAGATTATAATAGAAATCGCATCAAAATAAGTACCTAGAACAGATGTACAAGATTGGGCAAATGATATAAAGAGAGAAAAGAAACTCCCTTTCTAAACAATTTCACAAGTCATTTCCTGTATTGAACCCTTATTCCTACTAGTACACAACAAAATTTCCTTGTATATTTACAGGCCATGAAAGCAAACAACGTGTACCAGCTGGTCTTTTCGTCTTCATGTACTGTATATGGAGACCCAGAACACCTTCCCATCACTGAAGATCATCCAACTGGAAATGTAACAAATGTATATGGACGCACAAAGTATCTGATTGAGGAAATGTTGAAAGATCTGTCTAAGGCAGAGGAGGTCAGTTTGATCGGATGTTGCAGTTGTGCAATTATTTTTGATAGGTGTTACATGTGTTGAATTAGATTATGTTGCTGTGTGACAAGGACTATGATTTTGTATTAATTTTGAATAGAGATGTGTGTGTGGTATTGCTGCTTGTGTAGATATTATTGATATTTTTATAATCAAACTAGTTGTTTTATTGATGATTTACTCTTAGATATAAATGATTGCTGTTATTACAGTTTTTATTGTGTGATTATAAAAAGAGACATATCATGTCACTACAAGGTATAATCTTCTATTCTTTTAAGGAGTACAATTGTCTATATGACATCACAGCATATTTAGAATGAAATGATGTTTTAATATTAAAAGGATTTTATTATGCATTTATTGCATAAAGAGTGACATGTGATTGAACCACAGTACAGATATTTTTATATTATAAGGACTGATATCTTGTTCAAGTATACTAAATTATTTTCCAACTTGCTTTCCCAAACTCAACAGAAATGGAATATCATTGCTTTACGATATTTCAATCCTGTTGGTGCACATCCTTCTGGTCGACTGGGGGAAGATCCAACTAAAAACTTCACAAATCTCATGCCTTACATTGGTCAAGTTGCTATTGGGAAAAAGCCAAGTTTGACCATTTTTGGCAATGACTATGACACAGTTGATGGCACAGGTATGGTATTCTTTATTTGAAGTTAGTACTATAGTACATCTTAAAATTAGTGATTTGAAGTGTTCAGTTTTTCTTTTCCATCTTGTTACAGCACATTATGATAAAAAATTAGGGAATTGAATTCCCATCATTTTTTTTTTATTAATATTTATTAAAGTAGTCAACATAAGCCATCATACTTGAGATTCTATAGTAGTGTGAAGAGTCAAGAAGAAGCTGTGGTGTCATTTACTTTTAGAATTAACAATAGTTTTACTATGTGATTCAAGAACGGGCAGTGTTTTACTTTTATATATGTAAATAACGACTTCATTTTAGATTGATAATGTCATTCATACAAGGTACCTTCAGGTCTAAAGAAGTGCAATTATTTTTTCTGTGTTTCACTTCAGTATTTTAGTATTACTTCTTTCCAGCTTGTAGATTTTACATTTGTTTTTTGATCCCCATCTTCCTTAGGTGTACGAGACTACATCCACGTAATGGATTTGGCATCAGGTCATGTTGCTGCTCTCTCCAAGCTTGACAAAGAACACCTGAGATATAAAGTAAGGATATGACAGTTGAGTAATTGGTGAATTCAAATCCTATTCCATCTGTACGGGTTTATTTAAATTTAGATTATTGGATTACATGTCATTCATAACTTTCAGGACATTAGTGATCATGCATATGTATGATTTTTTTTATTTGTGATTTAACTGTTGATTTTGCCTTTAATCATGTTAAGTTAAGTAATTTGATACTCCCCATTGGATTAGGAAGGAATGATAAGCAATGTTCCTAACATCTTATATAATATTATTTTATGAAGATTCAACTTCTTGAATGGAGGAAAGATAAAGTTAAATTAACTGAAAGTACCTTTTTGTTGATTTCAAAAAAATTCTAAAATACCAAGGGTATTTGTTAAGAACTGTCAGAATTGATCCTTAATACCCATTTTGGAATAATGATAGATTCCCTATACAGTATTTTGTAATACTATCTTTTAAGGGGACCGTCCCGGGAATTGAACACCTTTCCCTACTCATTTCATCATAAAAAAAATTGGTATTAGATAACTCATTGATTCTTTTTGCATAACATAGAGTATAGAATTGCGCTTTGTCTCATATATAATTTTGTTCTCGCATGCCCATAGGGGAGGGACGCCCGCCAAAAAGTTGAAAAAAATCCCCCTTTTTTTTTTCCCCCTCTTCTTCGGTACATCACCACTCCCACAGTTTTTTCCGGAACAATACACAGAAAATTCATGTGTTAGATCTAGCCTAAGGCCGTGTAAATGGCCGATTCTTGAATTTCCTTTGGGGGGGGGGGACTGGTTGACATGGAGTACTATTTTTGGTTTATTTTTTTCAGCATTAAAAAAATTATATTTTTTGATTAAGGTCAAAATTGAAAGATCGGCCATTTACACAGTCTCAGGGTTAAGAGGCTCTAGCGAAAGCAGCAAACTGCATTTGAATCGCATGAAAATTATGAGCGTGGTGATGTACCGAAGGTAATGTAAACAAATAACAGAGATACAGTGTATTATATTTTGGCAGCTTGCCAAAGTTCATTATCTCTGTTATTTTTCTCTAAATCTAATGATGGCATATATATATATATATTATATATTATATATATATATATATAATATATATATATATTATATATATATATATATATATAAAAGCTTATTTAGTGTACTTTACGATGCAATGATTACCAAGTCAATTGGAATTACCATTTTCATTAGGGATGCTTTCCTATAAAGGTATGTATTTATATGTATATATATATATATATATATATATATATATATATATATATATATATATATATATATATATATATATATATATATATATATAAGTAGTTATTTTCATCTATAAAAGTTAATAAATGCATTTTACCATAACTAATCTAAACCAGATAAGAACCTTTTTTTTATTTTTCATTATTTTTTATTTTTTGTTATTATTTTATTTACTTTGATTTTGAAGAAATGGGGAACTGTGGATGGCAACATTAGTTTAAAATCATCTTAACTATAAAGTCCTAGCATGAATACAACATGGTGGTTCAATTTTGAGAATTTTAAAAGCATATGAATTTAGTACATGGAATTTGAGAACTTACAGAAGTCGTTGAATTTCTCCCATGATCCACACATGGTCACTGGATGTTTATAATTTTCAAGGAGGATCATATGTACGTGAACACACGCACATAAAGTTAAAAAATGAATCATCCTCATTTAGTAGGCCTACATATCTTTCATATCTAAATGATAAAATATATTAGTTAACCCTCTCAAACTGCTTTCTTCAATAATTGTCAATATTAACAGATTGCAAAGAGGAACAAGTGTAGAGTTGGAGATTAGCCATTTGCACCCTTTATCTTAACTAAGAAGTGCATAAAATCAAGCAGACACCTAGGTGTGGTGGGATATTTGCGAATTTATGGTACCTAAGACCTATGGTAACGTCTAGATATTATAGTTTTTATCGGGAAGCCACAAAACAGAAGGGATAGCTTTATCAACTTTAGATGAAGACTGCGCGCAAAAACGATCTCAAAATTCCATATAGTTTTTGTTTCAGAGCAGATATTACAGAGTGCTATCATCTTCAATATGAAATAATCAGTATCTCGCTTATACATCCAAAGTTCAATAATCCGACATTTAGGTAATCTTCATATTGAATTCGCCTTCACAATGGTAACAACCAATTTCAAATCAAATCAAATTTACCCATGCTGTGATGTACCGACTGTTGAGTCAAGTCCATCAGTAATATTTCAATCCTTACTTATATGGCTATTTTCAAACATTAACGCTTCGTACTCGGTATACATACAGATCACTTCATAAGCTACGTAATGTTACCAGGGAGTCTCGATAGAAGAATATTTCATGTGTAAAAGGACACAAAACTTACATTTTTTTTAGATATATTTCACAAAATATTTCGTCATAAATCACTGTGATATAAGTTTTTTCTGATAATGGTATAAAAGTGTTCCTTGAACATTCACAAACTCATATCTATGCGCAATGTCAGTCAAATGCCGTATGTGCGATTGCAACAAGCAAAGCTCCACATGGGTGAACCGGGTCGCTCATTAGCGATGTACCTCTCCAGGTGTTCAGCTGGTCTTGCGTCAGCTGCAAGACAACAAGTCATAGCAGGCGTTTAATATTTTTTTGGTAGTTTCCTCATCCATGTACCTATACTATACACTAGCTAACTCAATCTGACCCCTTGGACGCCCCCCCCTCTCAGACGGTCCCCTTAATGGAGTTATAATCATTTTATTCTTGACTAATACATTACATCATTGACTTAACTTTATTAATCATACAAATTACATTACATCTTGGGATATTTGAAAGAAGAAAAGTTTCTTCACATATAGTGATAGAACATTTAACTAATAAGATGTCACTGCTTTTTTTTAATATAAAAGCATAATTCATTTGCAAATACTTTAAAGTTATCTATTAACCCCTTAGATCCAGATGTTTTGCTGCCTGCATGTGGTACAAAATATGGGCATTAGCCTTACATTAGCAACCAATTTGACAGGTGCACACAAACACTTGTGACTGGTGACAATACTCTTTTTCTGCATAAGCCTTTATAGCTTTTGTGCCATTTTCTAATGCTTTGCTTTTCCAGGATGGTAATAGATGGTTTTCCTTGCACACTTGATATCATCTCTCTAGATAGTCCATAACTTAGTGCAGTAATAATAACAATAAGTAACATTATTTTATTTGTGTCATTATCCTTTTTTTTCATAACACAGGCAGGAATAGGATTCTGAGCATGGAAACAGCATCCTCCCTTGAACCAGTGCTCTTCCAGTCATTCTCATGCATGGCACATTCCCTACTCCTTTAGTAATGGAAATAATGCAAAAGCCCCAACCTAAATGTTCACCAAGTCTGAACACCCTCCAAGAGGTTTGTGCACTCATGGCAAGTCATTCCTGTCACACATGCCTTCAGTCAAAATTTTCATGATGGCAAGTTCCCATCTTTCTGACCCACAGCCAAATTTTCCCGTGTTGTCATGTTCACTTCACCCCCCTCTTGCTATTTTTTTTTTTTTTTTTTTTTTCATAATGTGATAATCATATCTCCCAGATTGTAGGGGTTGAGACAACAGCAATTAAGCAAGCATTAAAGAAATATTTAAGGGTTATTAAACAGTGTGTTTTTCCCAAATTTATAGATAGATCAATTATGTGTTTAATGCCACAATTTAACATATTCATATAATATGTTTTAATATCATTATTTTGAAATGCAACATTTATAGCATGATTATTCCATATTTGTTACATTGCTAAGTCTGGGCTCAGTAAATGGTAATGTATATAAGAGAATAATGTTGATCAAGAAATGTGTGTGCATGTTCTGGGTTTTCAGTTGATATTGTGTTTGTGCAATCTCTGATTTCTTTGCCGCAAGCTACATTGATTTAGGTGAGGTGACACTCACTGTAATTAATAGTCTACTATTCAAACATTTACTTTTCTATTATTGAGCAGTAAATGATCTTTTTATTCAAGCATCAATTTTTTTCCTTTACGATAAAACTGGTTTGTTTATTTTGATTAGTAAGTATCAGGGATTAATGTTTAATTTTTGCAAACTGAGATTTTTAGTGTAGCTTGATATGAGAAAAAAAAATTAAGAGTTTGCTATTAAACATGTTACAGCATTTCAGAAAAAAGATGATAATACTTTTAATAATGAAGTTCACAATTTTAAGCAGGAGCAAAAAAGTATTTAGTGTTATTCTCTGATCTTCGCATAGCCTCTCAACCTAGGCCTAGGTGTTGGCTTGTCAGTGCTGGAGTTTATCAAGGAATTTGAGCGTGTGTCGAAGGTGCAGATTCCTTATGAATACCTTGGAAGGAGAGTAGGAGATGTAGCAACGCTGGTGTGTGATGGAAGCCGTGGCATGAAAGAGCTGAACTGGCAACCACTCAGGAATTTTCAGGTCATGTGTAAGTAAAAGTTTCAAAGCTTTAAAAAAGGGGGGATAACTAAATCCTTTTTGTTCCACAGGCAGCTGTAACTTCCTGCTTCTCCCATCTACTTCCCCCTCCCTCCCTCTCCTATCTATCTACAAGAAAAAAGCCTTGTTCCCTTGCCTCAGAATATGCAGACTCATACAAAGAAATTTTTCACAGACATACAACCTTGGCACAGGCAAGGGCGTTTCTGTGTTGCAACTCGT